GATAGTTTTGTGGGCTGCTGTCTATGTTATTTAATGAAACATGCATCAATGAAAAATGCTGCCTAAATACACTCACAATACACACACATATATATATATATATATATATATATATATATATATATATATATATATATAGATAGATAGAGAGAGACAGAGAGAGACAGTGTGTGTGTGTGTGTGTGTGTGTGTGTAGCAGCAAAATTGTCCAAATCGTGTAACAACATGGGATAATTATCCGTGTCACAAAATGTTTAATATCTAAAAAAAATCACTAAACTAACTGAGTTTCTTTTTTCCAGGTCTTCAGATAAGACGTTTAGCCATCTTGACACTACCTGTCATAAGAATCAAAGAAAAACAATTTGAGTTATTCAGCTTGAAAGAGAACAGGTTAAAGTCGTTTTTTGTCAGCCCAATCGTCTTCCCATCAATGGTGAGAGGAAAAAGATCATTCAGGCCTTCAGTAATAGTACCAATATTTATACTCTGAATTCCACTTACAAAGTGCATTCAAGAACCATCAAGAAAACGGTGAATCTTTAAAAAAAAAAAGAAAGAACAGTATAGAGGAAAACTGGATCATGAGGTCACAACGACAAGAGAGATCATCATTTCAACTTAGAGCTAAATACATTGTTATTGTTCAAAGTAGAGTCCAATAGTTTTATAAAAATCTCGGAGAAATCCAGTAAGATATCTTTAATCATTTCTAAGATACAACGGTTCAAATCTTAATCTAACAATAGGACAATTTTGTTGTTACACCATATGGCCAATTTTGCTGTTGATTCCGGTATATATATATATATATATATATATATATATATATAGATAGATAGATAGATAGATAGATATTTGTGCGTGTGTCTATCTATCTATTTATTAATATACACACACACATTTATCCATTTATATATTTTATATATATATATATATATATATATATATATATATATATAGTGAATATAGAAGTCAACACTTAGAGGCGACAGTCTGTTTCATGCTAGACGCAATCGTCAGGCCTGTCGCCTCTAAGTGTTGACTTCTATGTTCACTCTTATATTTACACACGCTCTGTCTCTGATATTAAGCACTTTATCCTATAAATATAACACATCTTAAGATTTATTTCTTCATATATATATATATATATATATATAAGGGTGGTTACAACGTTCTCATTTTGGCCATGAGAGCCGGGCTCGAATCTCACTATGGTTGATTTTTCAGGCAGGAGACTTCTTGATGTTATCGGACTGACGGGATCGATCCGAGCGTGCGGCACCTTTGGAAAGTGCCGGACAACTATACCACGGTTTGACCAAAGCCTTCTGAGTGAAATTGGATAGACGGAACTTTTGGGGGCCTTCGATAGCTGTGCTAGCACGAAGTTGCAAGTTATCGTGGCCGAGCGCTTGAGTGTGGTGGCCTTGTTCAAATTGTTAATCACGCTAGATAATACGCTCTTTCCCAGAGACTGTAACTAGCAACTATACTCGTGGGTTCTGTGAGTTTTGAATAATCACAAATTCGCCTGCAACTATCCGCCCTAATAGACGCGTATCCTCGAATACGAGTAGTCAGCTATACATTTATTAATTAAAGAGCTCAATATTAAATATAAAGAGTATATATATATATATGAAGAAATATAGTCTTAAGATGTGCTATATTTATGGGATAAAGTGCTCAATATCAGAGACAGAGCGTGTGTAAATATAAGAGTGGACATTGAAGTCAACACCCAGCGACAACAGACTGTTTCATGCTTAAATGCAGTCTTCAGGCCATGTCGCTTGTGTTTTGGCTTGTCTATATGCTGTATATTTTCTAATTGTTCTTTTGATTATAGGGAGCTGTTAGGCTTCTAGTTATTCTAGGGGAGGCTACTGAGTAGAAATAATTGTGCTTTCGAATGCAGTTTTTTTTTTTTGGCTATTTCATATTCTTGTTCGTTAATTGTTGACTCATTATTGATTACATTATTATTTGTTGTTGATTGTTATTACGTTTTCTTGCGTGTAAGCGTACATTTGTAGTGTGTTAATTTGTTTATTATTGATTTAATTTGTTTACTTATTTATTAAACTGGGTTATTTTATTCTGCATATTTTTTTTTCGTTCATTTTTAGTTTTTGATTTTTAGGTAGCGTAGTAAAAATTTATTTTCATGTCCGCATTTTTAGACGAGTTCTGATCGTTTTTGTAATTTGTGACGGTCTTGGAAGGTAATTATAGTTATTTTCTCCTCCAGAGTTTATAGTTTTTTGGATTATTGTTGTAAATTGATGCCGTGTGTGTATTTCTCTGTGTGTGTGTGTGTGTGTGTGTGTGTGTGTGCGCGCGCGTTTGTGTGTGTATGCGTGTATGGGTGTATGTAAGTTTATGTGTGTGTATGTTTATGCGTGTGTGTGCATGTGTGTATGTGTTTGCGTGTGTGTTTTGTGTACGTTTGTATGTATCTATTTTTGTGTATGTGTATGTGTGTGCGTTTGTG